ACCCACAGTGACATCAGACTCTGACTGGTGACATCTTGAGTGGAGAGGTGGTGTTATCAGGCAGTTGCTGGAACATCCGACACTGAGTCAAAACAGTGTGTGAAGGTCTCCAGACAAACTGGACACATCATAAACATGTTGGATATCACCAGAACTTGAAGAAGCTTGACAGAGGTTACATTGTGGAGTTATATGAGGCTGGTTGGTGTCACTGTGGGTACATGATGGCACACACACTCCATGAAGGTTCTGGTTGACCAGGACAGGCCACAATATGGGAGGATGATTATAATGTGTGCCAAGCATTATGCAATCCCATAAACATCTGTGGGTGCTATCTGAACACAGGTGCTGGACATTCATTCAACCTTTATTTGTACGGGCTGGTCTCATTGAGTCATGGCGGCTCATTTTCAAGAGTGCCCTAAAAGTGTTATAATAACAATCAAATCAAGGTGCCATATAAAACAAGGTAAAATACTAAAAACAAGAACTTTTTTTTTTGCTAGCCTGCATGCTACATGCTAACCTGCACTGTGTTTAGATGACTGACAGCAGTCAGATTACAGGTTTGCTGTCCCATGAACAGAGCACAGACTGCTGCATTTGCAGTTGTGCCCTAACCAGGAGGCATGGACTGAAGACAACTGGTGGGATTTTATGTTCAGCAAAGAATCTCAGAGCTGCATTACTACAGGCAGTGATTGTGCGCTTTGATGGCGGTCCGAGCTGGACTAATGCTGCCAATGTTGTCAAGAGATGGGCCAGTGGCCCATCTGGTCTCAGAGTATAACTTCAGGTTACCTCTCGTAATGATTTGGGGGACTCCAATGGCACATCTTAGTCCACATATTACCCCTCCTGAGACAACGCCTGGGTGCCACCTTTCAACAAAACAACACCTGTTTACACATGTCTGCGGGAAAAAGAGGAAACAACATACATGACACTGATCCACAATGAATCACTTTTTACATCCAGATTGGACGTCACACCCGATGGCACGGGACCAGCAGGGTGCCCCTACTTCCTACTCTGTTATCTATTTGATCTAGTATTTTAATTACTGCGGTACCTTTTGGTACTAGCCGTTTCATTTCATTTTGATCACTTCATCTGTGTGCTTCCCTTTTTTTTTGTCAGTGGTTGTAACAACTCAAAAACAGTTTTAATTCTTGAATGTACACCGACACAATTGGCTTTTAGCGTCTAATTCGATTCAGTTTATTTCTAATAGAGCCAAGTCACAACAGAAGTCATCTCAGGGCACCATACAAAAACACTCATATACATAAACAGGAAGTTAATAGCATTATTTGTCTGTGAATAACCTCAATCGGTGATGTTCAATACCGACTGTGAAAGAAGAATTACAAAACTGTGGTATAAAATAATTTAGCCCAGTGAAAAATAAGAAATAGGACAAAGAAAGATTTCTGAGAAAAAGGCTTGTCCTAAATTACAGCACAATGTTGACGGTAGAACAATAAGGTCAGCAGGATGTGTCATGAGGTTTAGGCTGTTTGCACGTGCTTTGTCCGAATAGATGCCATCTTTAAACAAGCTCACTGGTTGACAGAAGAACTCAATAACTATAAAAGGCTTTAAATGAAGCGCACTGATCCTAAATGCTCAATTCAATTAGTATTAATTTAATAAAATAATTGCATCAATAATTACAGTATTGCACTTTGCCAGCCAAAGCTGAAAATGTTTTTGCTCGTGTCTGCAGGCTGGATTTTAATGAAACATACAGAAAGTGTTCATTGAATGTTTATCTACAGCTCATTAACATTTGAAGTCAATCCCATTCAAGATGTCTGCCACAGCTAATCAATAATAGCGAGCACAAATATTGATATACCTCAGCTAAATTTGAAGATTGGACACTAAATCTCAGTGTGGTAGTAGCTAACCATCATCCCCAACACATGGAGCGCTCCACATTGCATGACTTCTGAAAAAAAAAAAAAAAAAATAGCATTAACTGTTGAGATCAATTGTTTTTGTATGTTAGCAAAATATCCTATGAGCCACGGACAAAGTGAAATTCTTCTAATGTAACCACTGGATGTACATCTGAGTGACCCCAATCCAAGATGGCCACCACATCAACATTAGCCAAAAGAGCTAAAACTTATGGTCTGTTTTACAGATATTGAGCTAAAGAAATGTTGTAGTATTAGCTAAGAGTCACCCCCCAGCACATACTTCAAGCACTAACGGATCATGAAAGATCTTGCAATGTGTTTTTTTATTGCATAACTAAAATCACAGTTGATTTGAAGTGAAACAAATTTAACATTATACCAATTATTATACTTTTTTTTCATGTTCAGCATATTTTAGAACAGGGGCCCTCAAACTTTTTGGGTTCAGGGACCCCTTAAAGGGGAGAAAAAGTTTCAGGGACCCCCTCATAACCCTCATGCTTATTAAATAATTTTCTTCAGTTTGTCTCTTTAATGCGATGGAAATATTTGTGTCACATAAATACTTAAGTCCTGTTCTTTAATAGTGTTAATACAATTTGTATACTTTTAAACATGGGGTATTTTTCATTCAAGACAAAGTTGATTAACAAAATTTTTAATTTCAACTGTTTTGGAAAATTAACAGTATCACAAAACACTTTAAAACTTTACCTATTCACATAATGAACATAAATGTATTGTTACTTCTTCAAATTATTACAGAAAACTCTTTACTTAACAATAAAAAAGGTTAAATCATTTCAGCTGGACCAGTTTCTTTAAGTGAGAAAGGTTTTGTCCCCTATCCAGAGGACTTGGTTAATCTGTGGCCTGTCAATCTGTCCCCAAAGGTCTCTTGTAAATGAGTCCCCAAGTCCCTGTGGGACTACCTGTATAAATAAAGGTTGAAGGAATACAAAGCTCTCAACAACCTAGCTCCATCTTCTATTACAGATCTTATTGTGCCATATTTTCTTTGCTCTCAGACTGCAGGCTTACTTGTCATTCCTAGAGTTTCTAAGAGCAGAATGGGAGGAAGATCTTCCAGTTATCAGGCTCCTCTCTTATGGAACCAACTTCCAGTTTCTGTCCGTGAGGCTGACATGTCCAGTTTTAAGACTTTTCCTTTTGATAAATCCTATAGTTAGGGTTGGCTTGTTATGCTGCTATAGGCTTAGACTACTGGAGGACAAATTGACCTCATTTCCTTAAATGAATTGTTAAAATTGAATAGTTTTTATTTGATATTATTTCTATCTTAACATGTGAGTCTCGACCTGCCATTGTGTATCTGTTCCAAACCCAGCCGGTTGAAGCAGATGGTCGTTTGTCCTGAGCCTGGTTCTGCTAAAGGTTTCTTCCTCATGAGGGAGTTTTTCCTTTCCACTGTCACCTTTGTGCTTGCTCAAGATGAGAGTTTTGTGATGGAGTTCAACTCAAAACAGTCTGCTCCTCAGATGATTAATGTTATTAACTTATTTTTATATATATGAATGTACAGTGCCCTGCTGACTTTGTTATGACTTGACGCTATATAAATAAATTGAACTGAATTGTAAATTATATATATATATATATATATATATATATTTATTTATTTATTTATTTATATATTTTTTATTCTTTTGAACCAAAATTCAAATCCAACTTTGACTTTTAATAGTTTATTGTCAGTAATTTTTATATTTTATGATTTTTGTCAGTTTTCGTTTCTTTCAGTAACGTTTATTTTTCTCCTTTGGTACCTGAAGGCGTCGACTCGTCTTCTGCTGATACTTTCATCCAAGATGTTTCATGAAGAAGATAATTTCTGTTTTAATCCCTGGATTATGATGATAACCTCGGCTGGGGGTTATAATTATCAAACAGGAAGTGATGCGTTATGGTTTTTGTCTCCGGTCCGGTTCTTGTTTGTGTGATTGAATCAGTTTCGAGCCGATTTGATTTTCTGCCTCATCATCTTCAGAAAATGAGACGTGAAGACGTAACGAGGACAAGCGTCACGTTTTGAAATAAAAAACAACCCGTCTCAGCCCTGCGCTGGTTGCCATGGAGACCACTCGATGAGGATTGGCTCTCCTCGGCCCGTCATAGACCCCCACCCCCTCCCTGACGTGCGTCTCTTTGCAGGAACGAGTGGGAGCCCCCGGATAAGAAGGTGGACACCAGGAAGTACCGAGCCGAGCCCAGGAGCATCTTCGAGTACGAGCCGGGGAAATCATCGGTGCTGAGGCTGGAGAGGACGGTATGAGACGCCGCTTCCTGTCTGTGTTGGTGTCCCCCCCCCCCCCCATGTCTGCATCACTAACAGCTCGGAGGCTATGTGTGTGTGTGTGTGGCCACCACATTCCCAAAGGGTGTCCTGTTGCAGAGACAAACAATCCAGCCTGTAAGCAAACGAGACGGAGACAGGGACAGAGGGACAGAGAGTGTCTCTTAGGTCTATCGTCTTCCTGTCTTCAGTTTAACTTCTCAGTCTCCAAACGTGGATCTGAGTTTATTGTTCCAACTTTTCCCTCCAAAGCTGAATGTTTGTTCTGAATCAGTCAGCCTGTACGTCTGTTTGTTTGTCTGTTTGTTTGTTTGTCTGTCTGTTTGTTTTTTTTAAATATATTTTATTGCCAAAACTCTGATATTTATACATTTCCTGTCCCTAACATGTTTCAGAGGAATTCACTGCTTTAATGTGTGTGTGTTGGGGGGTGGGGGGGGGGGGGGGGGGGGGGGGGGGGGGGGGGTTGTCACTGTGTTCTGGAGGTAAAGGTACAGAATCTAACCGGAGCACCTGACGTGTTCCTCCACCCGCCCGGCGCTCGTTGTTGCTCCTTTAAGACGCTCAGTTCAACTTCTCCGTTTTACCGACATATAAATTGTAAACGTGTGACGGGCGTCCAAACACAAACTGAAGTCCAGAAAACTAAACTGACTCACGTCTGCAGAGAGAACGGACAACTGGCTGGTCACTAATGGAGAGCCAGAGTCCATTCATGTCAAACATGGAGGGGGAGAGTGGAGGTGGATGGTGGAGGGGGAGCGGGATGGGTAAGGGTGAAGGTGGAT